TACAGCAATCTGCTGAATAGCTGCAGCAACCTGCTGAACAACAGCTGAAATCTGCTAAATGGCTGCTGAAATCTGCTGAATTGCTGCTGACATCTGCTGAATAATTTCTGAAATCTACTGAAATCTGCTATATGACTGTTGAAATCTGCTAAATAGTTGTTGAAATCTATGAATAACTGCTGAAATCTGCTGAATGACTGCAGAAGATGCTAAAAAAGCTGAAACTGAGTTGTGAACGTCAAAAGAACCAGAGCACAAACTACAAACTAAACAAAGCTAAAAGTAGCTGAATGTTAACTGAAAAAACAATCCCCAAAAAGTCTTGGTCAAATTGTAAAGCTGAGCCAAAAGAACTAAAACTGTAGCTAAAAGCTAAAAGTAGCAGAACATGACTCAAAACTCCAAACATCTAAAACTAGAAAGAAGGACAACAAAACTCCTCCACTTCCTCCTCACGGCGTCCTGAAACATAAAAACGGCTAAAAACTCCACCCTTACATGTCAGGTCTGACTAAACCCAGTTCAGCGCTGAGCGGACAGGAAGTACCAGCGGTCACTTCCTGTAGAGGAAGACAAGCTGGTCTTTGGAGCGAACAACAGAAAAGAACTCGAGGTGAGGATGGAGGACCGGTAACAAACCTGGACCTGTCCTGATCGGGGTCCCTCCGGCCCAAAACAGCCATCAAATAACAGATCTATTAGACCGGACAGTCAGTCCTCTCTTACAGGGGGTAAAAGTGCTGACCCAATCTCTCCCCGGGCGGTACTTCCTGAAACATCTGACTTTAATAAATAGTTTCTATTTTCTGTAAATGACTTTTTCATAAAAAGCCACTGAAAAGCGCTAATGTGGCTCAGGCACAGAAAGAACCGTTCTGACTCGACCCGCTCGAGGTTCGGATTCTCCCAGTGGTGTCAACACAAAAAAAGACAGACGGATAATCTGTTAGATAATCTGTTACAGCATCAAAGCATTTCAGCTCCAGTGTTAATAAAAAACGACACCCTGGTATTCAGGACAAAGACCCACCAGAACCGGACAACTTCTGCTGTAGAACTGGAACCTGGACCAGTTTGGCTCCGACCCATGTTTCTCTCACCTGTAGCATCTCCGCCACACATAAATGTTCGGACTGAAGCCGACGCAGGTTTATCCAACAACAATGAGATCAAACAGAAACATCAAAGCCTCGATCGAGTGAGATCAAAGAGAAGATTTACTTTGAATCCAGAGAACAACGGAAACAAAACGAGCTCCACTTCTGAACATGAATGGATTTATCTAAGCAAGTTTATTTAAGAAACATAATATTGACGCAGGAATCCTAGCCAATTATAGACCTATATCTAATCTAACTTTCATCTAAAATATTCTAGAGAAAACAGTTGCTGGTCAGTTGCACGATCATCTGCAAAGAAATAATCTGTTTGAAGAGTTTCAGTCGGAGTTTAGAGCTCACCACAGCGCTGAATGAACTGGTGAAAGTTACCAATGATATTCTCGTGGCCTCTGACAATGGACAGGTGTCTACACTGGTCCAGTTAGACCTCAGTTCATTTGATACAGTTGATTATAATATTCTACTACGGGGGTGGAATATGATATTAGAATTACAGGAACAGCTCTGAAATAGTTAAATCATATTTATCTGATTGATTCCAATTTGTAAATGTAAATAATTAATTTTCGTCATACACCAAAGTTAATCATGGAGTTCCTCAGGGTTCAGTGCTTGGACCACTACTTCCTTCCAATTTAATCCACTTTAAAAATATATATGTAAATATAAATGCTTAAAAATGTCCATAAACGCAACATGAAGTTGTCTGTGATAACTTAATTTTTAAAAGCAGTCTTTCAGATTATTATTTTTCTATGCGAAGAGTAAAAATGTGTATTTTAAGGAGTTAATTTGTGTTTAAAGAATCAGCTCTGCCCGTTTGCTCTCCAGAGTCGGCACCATGTACGGCAGGCAGTTTCACTAAATAATCAAATCACAATCTTATACTTTTATTTGATATTTTAGATTTTATAAACCGAATTTCTCTTGCTCACAACATTATTAAAAGTCAGAATTTAAATTAAATATGTTTACAATCAGAGTATAAATCACAATTTAGGATCCACTTGTCCAATTGTTTGGGTAGAAAAAGGTTAATAATGTTAAGAAACCTTTTTTAAAAGTTTTAGTGGTTGATTTAAAATCAAATTAGAGTTTATAATCTAAGAATTGTTGCTTTAAAATTATTCTTATCGTCACGTGTGTCGTGTCTTTATGACGGTTATATTAGATGACAGCTGAACTCGTATTTCTGAGTAAGGCACAAAAAAATTGTGACAAGAAAAGAAATCTATAAAAAAAAACACAGACTATTAAATGCTAAATAAGGATTCAGATATCCCACTCTTAGTTTTCACTATTAGAATTTAAATTAGCTTAAAATCTAATATCTACTTGTAATTATGAAATTAAAAACATTTTTCATTTATATTCTGACGATGCAGAAAGTTAGTGTGAGGAGGAGAAATTATATTATATAAATCTAAAGAAATAAATAGAGTTAGGAGTGATTTGATTATTCAGTAAAACAGCCTGCCGTACCAGCAACGCTGCAGCTGCTGGTTCTGAACATGAAGCGTTCAGTTCCTTCAGAGCTGCTCCAACAGACTCACTTCCACTCAGTCCCCAGACTCCCCTTGTTTATTGTTCCACCAAGGGGGGTCTGGTAGCACCCCCCCCCCCCCCCGGTCATCAATGGGACCTTTCTGAGAGGACCTCTGCTCTGCTGTTTGGACCATCATTTCCTGCAGCAACAACACACTGAAGCCATTCAGATGCAACGTTCACCCTGCAGCTTTTTCACATCCACCAGCGACCAGGTGACCCGCGGACCCCCAGTCTGTCGGTGACCCCCGATGACCCCCGGACTCATGGTGCAACAAACAGACGGTATCGTCTTGCAGGAGGTGAACAGTTGGAGATCAGGCCTTCAGAGCTTCAGCAAAGGTCAAAGTAAAAGTTTACAAGACAGTGGCGAGACCAGCTGTGTTGTTTGGTCTGGAGACAGAGACATGGACAAAAAGACAGGAGACAGAACTGGAAGTTGAAGATGTTGAGGTTCTCCTTAGGCGTGACAAGGATGGATAAGATTAGGATGAGATCATCAGAGGTACAGCACTGGTTGAACAACTGGGAGATAAAGTTAGAGACCAGACTGAGATGGTTTGGACATGTCCAGAGGAGGGACAGTGGTTTGGACATGTCCAGAGGACGGACAGTGGGTATATTGGTAGAAGGATGTTAGAAATGCCAGGAAAAAAGACAAAGAGAAGATATGGATGCAGTTAGAGAGAACATGGAGGGAGTTGGAGTGAGGACAGAGTGAGGACAGAGTGAGGACAGAGGACACAGAGGACAGAGTGAGGACTCAGTGAGGACAGAGTGAAGACAGAGGACACAGAGGACAGAGTGAGATGGAGGAGGACTCTCTGTGGTGACCCCTGAAGATGGAAAAGCCAGAAGAAGAAGGTTTTCAGAGCTTCGTTCAAACTCAGCGCTCCTACAAAAGATCCATTTTGAACTTTACGAACACGTTTTCTACGTTTCGTGTTGATCGTTGAGACATTTTTAACGTTTGTAATTCTTCTGTAAAGAGTTTTTTTTTTATCTGTTTACAAAAAGTAAACAACAGAAAACAAACAAACAAAAAAACTCGGATATGTTTTTCTACTAAATAACAGGTTTTAGTTCCGAGGTTCGAGTCCAGCTGGAGTTTATTTGGCAACACAGGCCAAAATCCAACAAAGTTCAATCAGGTCATCTGGACGGTTTCTTTTTTGTTGTTGTTGTTGTTGTTGAGACGTTTCATCCTTCATCCAAAGGACTTCATCAGTACGAGGAGTCCTCAACAAACCGAGTCCCACAAGCAGCGCACTCACATAGTGGACCAACCAGTTTGCTGGTGGGGCTCAGTTTGTTGTGGCTCCCTGAACTGATGAAGTCCTTTGGATGAAGGATGAAACGTCTCAAAAAAAAAAAAAAAGAAACAATCCAGATGACCTGACTGAACTTTATTGGATTTTCTACCTGGATTTTTGAGCATGCACTTTGATCTGGTCAAAATCAATCCTTCCTTTAGAGCTCAGCTGGTTTTTACATAACGATGGAGATAATAAATCATCTTTATGACCATTCTGTCGGATTATTAATCCTAATCTGTCATCTTGGGACAAACCCAACGTAAAAACACGCAACTTGTTCAGGAACGCCTGATCCCAGTCAAACCTCCCATTGATGGTGTTTAGTTCAAACCCAGTCCTGTTTGGATCTCCACAGCAGAACCGTCCTTCAGAGTTAAAACGGAAAGTCGGACCTTCAGCTGTTTTTAAATCTGCACCGTCGCAGATTAACGGAGGATTTTGTTCAGGTTAGAGTCTGACGGCGTCACATATATCGCCTCGATCTTCACACTTCTTCTTCTTCTTCTTCATCCAGCTGAAGGTTTTGTCCCGTGAAGCCCGAGCAGCTGTAACTCAGCCAGATGTGGTGCAGACACGTCAACATGGACTGGATTACAAACAGTCTGGAGCTACATCTGCTTTCCTCCTCAACAAAACACCCAGAACCTGTTGGTTGCAGCCTCAAAGCCTCCGGCTTCATGTGATGGATGGAAAGCGACGCGTCGTCCACGTAACGTAAATATTTTACATTTTCATTATTTAGAATAAAACGTCTGTAAATAAAGAAGCTCATAAAACAAGCGGCGTTAAACTGTGGAGGCTCGTGTTAAATAAAGATGGCCGACAGCTGCCTCTGATCGTGAAGACGACGGGAAGACGAGCCGAGAGGAACAGTCACTGCTGCTTCTCCTCCAGGCTGAGGAGCACAAACTACACAGGCCCCGACCCAACGTGGACCCAGCCAGGCTACGAGGTTCTGATCCACAGAGACTTCAGGAGGAACCACGAAACTCAGACGGAGCAGGAGACGGAGGCTTACCTGGAGGTCAAAGAACTTGCTGTATCTTCTGTAGATGATGTGGGACGTGTTGTCAGAGTAGGTGACATTGATGACGTACACCTGAGGAGACAAGAACAGACACGGTCAAACCACAACTCAGATCTTTGTTGGTGCTTCTGGAAACCTGAAAATGTCACAGCTGCAGGTCCAAACTCTGAGCATCAGCTGAGGTCACCACAGGAGACCCAGAACACCTCGAGATCCTCAGGAACCCTCAGAGAGGGTGGCTTCAAGAACACAACCAATCATCATCCATCCAACCAACATCCATCATCCAACATCATCCATCCAACCAACATCTATCATCCAACATCATCTA